TGTCCTTTGCTCTGAGCCATTCTCTCCTGCAGCCACCCTGGAATCAAGGAAGGACAGAAATGAGGACCGAAACTACCCGTAAGGAACGAACACCAGAGCCTTGCAAGACAGAGCACCCCTCCAAATAAGGATAATTTACCTATAATTATGAGGCTGCACACAGAAGCAGGAGTAATCATGTCTTGAGATCACTCCCCTCAAGTGATGATAGCAATAAACAACTTCTCCGGAACCCTGGAACCCTCAAAATACAAGAACTGAAATAATGGTCAACCAGACCCCACTTGACCACTGGAATACACCTGTGACTGGGACTGTTTAACTATGCATACATTTTGTCCCTGCCCTAATTCTTTGTTTATTTAAAGTTAAAGCTAATGTCTATACCTCAAAGATGGCTGAAGATGGGCTGAGTGCTTACTTTGCCTCTTCCCATGGTGCATTTACTGGGCAGTGTAATAAATCTCCTTTCTCTGCCCTTCACCATGCTGTTTATTTGGCTTACAGGGGAGAGTGGCCAGACATGACATGTGGAAGCCCAGGAGTTTGGACCCAAAACTCTGATTTCACCATGACCAGCAAAGTAGAGAAGTTTCTCGGCATTTAGAAACTTTTGTGCCTTTGACATTGCTACAATATCCAAATGCATAGAGGCATCCCTTAAACAGAGTATAGAACAAAAGTATAGTTTTGCAATAGACTGGAAATTTAAAAATAAATTAAAACAAAATGAGCAACAAAAAAGGATGGGTTCTTCCCAACAGTCTGAGAAGCACTGTTTAAAAAAACTCCTTGGGTAAGACTCTTTGGACAGTGCTGGGATTGAGTTTGGAATGGAACTCAATGGCAGCAGCTGGTTTACAGCTTAGCAAAGACGCTCCAAGTTCTAGCATCTTTTCGAGTATCTCTACAAATCAAACATAAAGAACTCTCACAAGGCTATCATCCTAGATAGGGTCTCAAGAACCACCTAGAGAAAATGTCTCTTGTTCTCCATAATTGGGCATGGGGGCAGGGCAGATGGCAAATCCAAAAAAGATCTAGAAAACATCCCTCCTCAATTAATTCTACTGTGAGGCAGGAAACAGGGCAGCCAATGACTGCAAGAGAAAAAGGATGGTGTGAAACGGCAGAGCTGAAGGAAGCCAGCAGTCTAAATACAACGCCCTCCCTTATGTAAGAAACCACAGCCGGGTGCAAGCTGCCAGGGCAAAATAATGTGTCTCTGTGTATTAAGGATGCAGGGAGATGCAGACAGCGGGGCGCATTTGGAGTTTACTGAAGCCATGTACAGACGGTCTGTTAATGAGCACTGGGTCCCCAAAGTGGGCTCATTGCTGACAAAAACCAGATAGAGGGCCAGCTGACCAAAGCAGCCTCACTTCCCATTGCCCCCTGCTTGGACCACTATCTCACACACCTCCCTAAAGTCTGGCACCCCTCCAATAGGCATTTGCAACTTGGACACTAAACACCCTTCCCATGGCTTCTTTCCTGCTAATTAAGTTTAAAACCTTCAGAAAACAGGAGGGTTACAAGACAAGGAAAGAGAAAAAGAATGAGGAACACAGTGTTTGGACCCATGCATCTCAGGTATGCATAGTCTTCGGGTCTTAAAACATACAGATGTGTGTGACCTCTTTATGATCAGTCTCTACTGCTGCAAATTTTAGAAGGGCGATGTGGCAACTTGAAAACCAGACCTTGGGGTCCCCAAGTGAACCTTGCTAACTTCTCAACTCCTCAATCCCCTTTACTTAGCAATGGAGCAAGGTTCACTTGGAGATTGAGGAGTTGAGAAGATAAAGTTGGAAACAGACAGGCTGAAGGCCTTAGCAAGCAACCCAGTTTGGCTCTGAAATGCCTTAGCAAAGAGAAGCCAAGCTCCATAGTGACAAGGGTCCCTTGGGAATAGGGAAGAGTATTCTGATCTGTGACAGATGCAAAAGCCATAGAACAGTGATGTTAGGCTCAACCTTCCTGTCCTTGGGAAGAAAATGCAATATTCTTGTCATAGCTGCTCTTTCTTAGAGGCATCAAAGAAGCAAAAAACATTCATCCAGGTGGATGAAAACAAAACAAAACAAAAACCCAACCAAACAAACAAAAAAACACCAGGATGGTACTTTAATGTACTCATATATCCATTACAAATAAGTCTTGGCAGGACTGTAAAATACATATAGTATGTGTACGGGGTACTACTGGAAAGGGGGAAGGTGAATGAAGGAGATGAAGGTGAGGGTATATGGTTGATGGACTTCATATATCTATATGAAATAGAACAAGGAAACCTCTTGCAATTGCTTTAAGTGGGGTGGGGAAGGAGTTGAGGGGGAGAGACGATGGGGTGATCTAACCAACATACAATATAAGCCTAATTGGAATTGTCACTACAAACCCCTTCCCCACTCTCCATGAAACAAATATATCCTAATAAAAAACTTCATAATTAAAAAAAAAAAAGTGTTAAGTCTTGAGGGCCTACTTTGTGCCAGGCTCCTCCTCATCTATAGCCCAGCAGGTCAGAGGGACTTGAACAAGTCATTATAAGTGTGAAGAGAGTTACACATGTACATGCAGTAGTTTAACGTTGTCTACCAGGGATTAGGGAAGCATTCCAAAAGGAATTACTGATTGAGCTGAAACCTGAAAATGTATAGGAATTAACAGACAAAATGTTAAGGATGATTTCAGGAAGAGTGACCAGCATGAAAGAGGGTCCCCCAGTCTGGAGAAAGGTGGTACTTTGGTCAAACTAAATTATTATGGCTAGGGCTTAGAGAGCAAAAGGAGAAAAAGCTTTTCAGGCTTACTTAAGGCTTTGGAAATTTATCCCTAAAGACAATAACAATAAGCTACTGCAGCATGCCAAGTAAATAAAGGCCATGCTCAGAGTTTTATTTTAAAAGGTTAAAATAAATTAGGGAAGGGCAAGAAGATTTGTTTGAGTGACAGATAATGGTTCTTTGGTCTGGGATAGGCCAAATGGGCAGAACTGACACTTATTAAAGAGGCAGATTCATTCTTTCCTTTAACTATATCTTGGAATCCCACAACAGGCCAGAAACTGTGCTAAGAAGACAGCATACAGTGGTAAATAAGAAAGGCATGACCAGCCAGGCCACAATGGCTCACACCTATAATCCTAGCTATTTGGAGGGGGAATGAGATTGAGAGGATCAAGATTTGAGGCCAGCATAGGCAAATACTTCACAAGACTCCATCTCCAAATTAACCAGAGCAAAATGGACTGGAGGTGTGGCTCAAGTGGTAGGGCACCTGCTTTGCAAGCACAAAGCTCTGAGTTCAAGTCCCAGTCCCACCCAAAAAAGAAAAAGAAAAAAAGAAAGGTATGACCCCTGCCTGAATGGCACTGATAACGTATTGTAGGAAAGATAACCACTCAATAAATCATTAAACTACACTTGTGACAAATGCTAAGGAGACACATGGAGAGCTGAGAGCATAAGCCAAAGGGCCAGAGGCAACGCTTAATGACTGGACAGATGTCAGGAAGAAGTAAAGATGGATGGCCTGATGGTGGTCTGGGTAGATGGCGGCACCATTTCAGGAGGGAGATCCGATTCTAGCTAGGATGGGGTGGGTAGGATGATGGGTTCTGTTTTAGACACTCACATGAAGCAATGGGCTCTAGATACAGAAATGAGAGCTGGTATGAGATCCCAGAGAAAGCCACGGGAATAGAAAAGGTAACCAGAGAGAAAATTCAGTGAGACCAGAGAAGATTATTTCTTGTTTAGTTCTGCATTTGCCCAGCCCTGGACTTCAATCATAATGAATGTTTTGCTTAATGAAAATAAAATGAATCACATAAAATAATTTGTCTATAACTTGAGCACTAGTAAATGCTCAATTTAGATGCTACATTTATGTAGTATGCTACCAACATATTCTCTGTTGGCATTTGAATTAGGATAGATTTTGTTCTCTCATTGGTCCCTGACTCCTGAAGACAAGACACCAGAAGTAAATTAATAATCTGCTTTGTCTGGGTTTCCTGAACTTGCAAACAAGCTGAGGTGGGTCTGGATGGCAGATCTGTGAATTGGAAGGGTTGCTGGAGAAACCATACCCTTTCTGGCTTCTAATGAAGAAGAACCAATGGAAAGCATGCAATTCTTACCACTGGGCACCTAACAGTCATTTCCAGTTAGGTAGCAAGCCTTCTCTAAGTCCCTCAAGGGACTAAGTACCCCTAGACGTTTCACAGATGAGGACCTAGAAGGTAGGCTGGAAAACTGGGACTTCAACACCATTCTTGGGACCTCATACACATTAAAGTGGGCAGCAGCCATCCCAGACCCAAACATAGGCCTGCCACATTCTAAAATGCTCCAGGGAAAAGATGCTATTCAAACTCTACCTCAGAAAAGTGTTTTAGCCTCTGGCCAGATGAGAGAGGGGAATGAGCTTCCCTGGGCTGCTCAAGCCTCCAGACTGAGAATAAAGATCTTTTCAGAGCCTAGAGTTTTCCAGCTGCCTGGAAACAGGAAGTGCCCGATCCGGGAGAACAGTAACCCTCACACACGCCCTACATAAAGACATGTTGAGCCATTAGCCCTAATTGCCTGTGACTGACACAGGAGTGAGACTGGCCTTCCAGGCATTTGCTCAGTGGAAAGAAAACAAACAGCTCACTGGGGGCACAAGCAGCCATTTTCTCTCAATTGTGCCAAAATGATTCTGCTCTGTTCTTCCCAAATTATAGCATACAGACTTGAAATTACAAACCAAAGGTCTTGCTAGTATTCTGTATTACATATGAGAGAGAAACAAAATCTCTTTGGGAGTAGACACAAGGAATTGGTTAATAATTTTTTCACAAAATAAAAAACTTGATGGAAAATAAAAACTTTTCAGAATTGCTTCTTAACACTCCCCTGTTCTTCAAGTTTGAAGTATTAAGAATTCTTTTCAATACTTTTCCTTTGATCAATACACTTTATTAAGAGATAGGAGTTAGGTAGTATGCCGTGTGTGTGGCAAAAAATCACATGTGCCTTCAGATTTAGGACTTTTATTTTAAAGACTGGGTCTTCAGAAGTAGCTTTAAGAAAAATACAGCACATTATACATCAAGCAGGAGAATGTACATCCTTCCTTTCTCCTTCATGAGTTATACAGATTCACAGGACCCACCACCAAGCCAACTTTAGCCAGATTGCCAGGGACTATTACAATATGGACATTGGTTTCTTCCTTATCAAACTGATAACCAGGATAAACAACAGGATTGGTCCTAACCATGATCAGCATTAGCTAAGACTTCATTTACCAGTTCAGAAGCATTCTCTTCTTTTAGTTCCCCTTCACAACCACTTCAAAAATATCACTTGCATCATTCAGCAAGTGCCTCACATGAACCATCTTCTTTGAGTCCCTAAATTTCCTGGGAGACACATATGGTCATTATCTCCACCTTCCCAAAATGAAAGTCACTTGGCCAAGGTCACACAGTAGGATAGAGGGGTTGATTCAACCCAGATCAACTGATTTCCAAGTTCCTGCTCTTCATCTCTACTCACTATGTAGTCAAATTTGAACTTCCCTTTGCTTACGGGGATCATCTTCTCATCCAAGGTCTTTACCACCATATTTAATTCCAAACTGAAGGATGGCAAGAAAACTAGCAGCTCATGTTAATTTCAGTCCCAGCTATGGAAATAGCATACAGTAATATTAATTCAGAAAAACCCAAGTCCTCCACAAGCTAAGATAAAATTCAAGAGAGAAAAGGTGTTTTCTAAGCAGGATCTAGGTGAATACCCTCCCAAGATTCAGAAAGGCAAAATGAGCTCCTTGTTTGGTAGAAACCACTCACTGAGTCAAGCTGTTCATTTCAAGTAGTGGCATAAGGTAGCATTGATTCTGTCCAGATGATTTAGAATCTTTTTAAAATTTATGTAGAACAAGCAGTTCTTCCACACCACCCTCGCTTCTATGCATGGTGGCCTCCCAAGACTACCAGTCACTAAGTAATAAATAACTATGTTGTTTCTGACCTGGTGAAGAAGGCTCAGTCTGAGGGAAAACATTGCTGTGAAACAGAAGGTTACTTACCCAGCAGGCAGAGCATCGGGAGCCTGGGCAGCTGCTGAGAGCTGCTGTGTCCCTGAAGTGCTGGGCTCCTCTCCCTCAGCTGGTGTGGCTGAACCCGGAAGAGACGTCGTGCTGGGGTTCGGGGTCACACTCAAGGCTGTGGCAGGTGGGGACGTCACACCAACAACAGAAGGTTCTTCAAGATCAGTGGCTACAGTGGGTTCTTCATTCACTGAAAAAGTACAAACCATATTTTAAAGATCAACTAAGAATAAGAATTTTGCTTACCTTAACTAGCTTTTTCAATTAATGTGTTAACATAGTATCTACAATGTTACCCTACATAGATTGGGTGACAGCAATAAGTTTTACAAAACATGACTTTGAAAATTACAGCAAGTCAGGAATCTGAAATAAATATATTAAATACTATCTTTTTATGTAACTTTATTAGGCTGTTCTAACATACTCTGGCTACACTGATTGCAAAAAAAAAAAAAAAATAGGAAAGACGAGGATAACAGCAAAGCATGCTGGTGGTAAATGAAGCAAGACCAAGGGCAAGTTTATAAGGTCATATCCTTTTCTTTAAAGTTGCCGTCTGCTTGCTATGCACAAATAGCACCTTCCTCCAAAAAACTCCACACACACAAAGAAGCAGAAAATTGCCAATAATGTGCTTATTCTTTTAAAAACTCATGCTTATAGACAGAAGAAGGGGTTAATACTCCACCATGTGGATACCCTCTGGGACATGGGCAAAATTAGTTGCTTAATAAGCAACTAAATCTTCTACAATTATTGTTTTCCCACTGCTTGCTATGCCAAATAGCACCTTCTCCAAAAAACTCCACACACAACAAAGAAGCAGAAAATTGCCAATAATGTGCTTATTCTTTAAAAACTCATGCTTATAGACAGAAGAAGGGGTTAATACTCCACCATGTGGATACCCTCTGGGACATGGGCAAAATTAGTTGCTTAATAAGCAACTAAATCTTCTACAATTATTGTTTTCCCAACATAAGTTACATTTATATATATAAATTTATATTTAATATAAATACATTCTCAGGTCTATTTATCTTGCCGTTTCTTCACATCTTTGATGATCACTTATGTCTATGAGGATCATCAACCCCAAGGCATTGCAACATCCTCTAACCTAAAAAAATTTATCAAACAAGCTTTCAAAGAATTGCAATTCTTCGAAACTGGATGAGTCATATGCTCATATTAATATGCCATATGCTCATCAAGGATCTTAATATCAGACCCCAAACTCTAAAGTTGATACAGGAAAGAGTAGGAAATACTCTGGAGTTAGTAGGTATAGGTAAGAACTTTCTCAATGAAACCCCAGCAGCCCACAGGCAAACTAAGAGATAGCATGAGATAAATGGGACCTCATAAAGCTAAAAAGCTTCTGTTCATCAAAAGAAATGTCTCTAACTGAAGAGACACCCCACAGAGTGGGGAGAAAATATTTGCCAACTTACATCAGACAAAGACTGATAACCAGAATATAGCGGAACTTAAAAAACTAAATTCTCCCAAAACTAATGAACAATAAAGAAATGGGCAAGTGAACTAAACAGAACTTTCTCAAAAGAAGAAATTCAAATGGCCAAAAAACACATGAAAAAATGCTCACCATCTCTTAGCAATAAAGGAATGCAAATTAAAAACCATGCTAAGATTCCACCTCACCCCTGTTAGAATAGCCATCATCAGCAACACCACCAACAACAGGTGTTGGCGAGGATGCGGGGAAAAAGGAACCCTCTTACACTGTTGGTGGAATGTAGACTAGTACAACCACTCTGGAAAAAAATTTGGAGGCTACTTTAAAAAGCGGACATCGATCTACCATTTGATCCAGCAATACCACTCTTGGGATATACCCAAAGACTGTGACACTGTTACTCCAGAGGCACCTGCACACCCATGTTTATTGCGGCACTATTCACAATAGCCAAGTTATGGAAACAGCCAAGATGCCCACCACTGACGAATGGATTAAGAAAATGTGTATCTATCAACAATGGAATTTTATGCAGCCATGAAGAAGAAACGAAATGTTATCATTCGCTGGTAAATGGATGGAATTGGAGAACATCATTCTGAGTGAGGTTAGCCTGGCCAAAAGACCAAAAATCGTATGTTCTCCCTCATATGTGGACATTAGATCAAGGGCAAACACAACAAGGGGATTGGACTATGAGCACATGATAAAAGCGAGAGCACACAAGGAGGGGTGAGGATAGGTAAGACACCAAAAAACTAGCTAGCATTTGTTGCCCTTAACGCAGAGAAACTAAAGCAGATACCTTAAAAGCAACTGAGGCCAATAGGAAAAGGGGAACAACTAGAGAAAAGGTTAGATCAAAAAGAATTAACCTAGAAGGTAACACACACGCACAGGAAATCAATGTGAGTCAATGCCCTGTATAGCTATCCTTATCTCAACCAGCAAAAACCCTTGTCCCTTCCTGTTATTGCTTATACTCTCTCTACAACAAAATTAGAAATAAGGGCAAAATAGTTTCTGCTGGGTATTGGGGGGTGAGGAGGGGGCGGAGTGGGTGGTAAGGGAGGGTGGGGGCAGGGGGGAGAAATGACCAAGCCTTGTATGCACATATGAATAATAATAAAAAAAGGAAAAAAAATAAAATTCCATGTATGAAAGAAAAAAAAAATATGCCATATGCTCATAAATTAATATTAATATAATTTATTTATATTTATATTCCTTATTCTTTCTCAGTCAAGCAGGTAATACTCAACAGATAGCAATTCTTCTTATGTAAATCTTACTCAAAATCTTACAAATTTTACTCAATTTGAGTTTTTTAATTTGAATTTTTTAAACAAGTCTCTTTTATGACTTTTTTCAGAAAAATTAATTCTAAAGTTTACTAAGGGAAACTAAACACATAAGACAACCCATGAAAAGGCTAAAGACAAGTGCTGTGTATATGTGTAGGAAGTTTGTTTGCTAAAGTATCAAAACATATTATAAAGTTACAACAATATGGTACTGATGCATGAATAGGCAGATGTTGACTAAATAAACAAGAAAGTTCACAAATAGATTTAAATAATTAAATACTTTACTGGAGGCTGCAAAATAGTGGTATTTTAATTTTATGTTGCCTTCTTCATTTATTGGCTGGATTACTTAAAAGAACAATAGCCCTTTATCAACTATTTGGCTACCTTAAGGTGCAGTGTGTGAAGGAAGGGCCAAGAGAAATGCTTGATTCTTTCCCTTTATTTTCCAGTTTTCAGAATAGTAAGTTGATTTCTTTGTATTGTCAAAAAATGAACAATGGTATTTTGTTTTGCTAAAAAAATAATGATGAGGTATTGGATTTAAACGTATTTAAAAATATTTCAAGTTTCGTTGTAATGTTTTTATTGATACTAAAATTGTCCCAGTCTTTAGTTGGAATTAATAAGGAGAGGGGACAGGGGCAAAGCTCTTCAAGCTGGGTTCAAGTTCTATGGAAAAATCCTAAAATAATTAAGTAGGAAAGTACAGAACAGTGTATATATTGTGTTATCATTTGTGTGAATATATACATGTGTGTGTTTTCTCAAAGAACATATTTACATCGAATAATGTCTTTGGAAGAATAATAAGAAACACAACAGTGGCTGCCTCTGGGGAGGGAATTTAAGGCTGGCAGAAGAGAAAAAACATTCTTTATATTATTTAAGCTTTTATGTTTTTAAAGTTCTAATAATGTACTACACTATTATTTTTAAAAGCTATTATGAAATTGGTGACTAGGAAAAGAACAAAAGGAGAGCACCAAGGCATGCCAGTGGAGAAGCTACTCCAATCAACACTATTTGGATCTGATTGTTCCTACAACTGAAAATCTAGTTAGAAGGGCTCTGAGCAGGACTGCACCTGTCCACAGGCCCTTCCAAAGGCCTTTGCCTCACCAGACAAGCTCATCTATTTAAAAGAGTCCTCCCTCCCTCCCTCCCTCCCTCCGTTCCTTCCTTTCTTTCTTTCTTTCTGCTTGTTTTTTGCTTTTTGTTTTGGTAGCGTTGGAGATTGAACCCAGGACATTGCACATGCTAAGCAAGCATTCTACCACTGAGCAACATCCCCAGTCCTGGGTTTTTTGAGACAAGGTCTTACTATGTAGCCCAAGCTGAACTCAAACTTGTGATCCCCCTGCCTCTGCCTCCCAAGTGCTGTGATTACAGGTGTGCACCACCATACTCAATCCCAGTGTTTAAGAGTTTTGTGCCACACCTGAGTTCAGACTTGAAAATAGAGAACGATGCAAGCCAGGTATCCTCGCATTGATGAGTTTTCTGTGTCCATGCTTACACTACCCCCCGTTCTCAGAAAGACAGTGTGTGTGCAAGCACATGCATATGTGCATATGTATACAGCTGTCCATCACATAACAATATTCCTGTCAAGGCAGACTACATGTATAATGGTTGTCCCATAAGCTTAGACTGTCCAATGACATAATAGATGTCTCAGTTTCTGTAAATGCATTCTATGTTAGTGAAGCAAGGAAATCAACAATGATGCACTTCTCACAACATGTCCCATTCTTAAGTAATACATGACTGTACATACACATCCTCCAAACGTGAGAGCTTGAAAAGACCTGAGGTAAATCCATCCCATAACAGCATCTAAATGTCAAAAAAAATTAAATTTAGACATTTAGCTACTGGCCCATCATCACCCTGGTAAAACAATGACAGGGCACCATACTCAAGCATGATGGGACTTTAAATAGAAAAAGTGGATTGTCAAAGGTGAGGAGTTACGAGCTGGGGCCATGGCTCAAGTGGTAGAGCACTTGTCTAATAAACACAAGGCCCTGAGTTCAAACCCCAGTACTGCCAAAGAGAAAAAAAAAAAAGAGTGGGGGAGGAGGGGGGAGAAATGGCCCAAACATAGTATGCACATATAAATGAAATAAATAAAATTTTTTAAAAAAGAGTTACAATTTTGTTATGCTTTAAAGATTATAGCCAACATTCTGAACCCAGATTCCTAATTATTTGATGTACATACCTTATCTACTACAAAAGACTGTATACTCTCCTTGAAAGTGAAGGCAATTTTGTTTCCCTTGTTTTTAATTATTTCCACTCTTCTTCCTTCTTTTTTTTTTTTTTGCAGTACCGGGAATGAAATCTACTGCTTTATGCATGGTAGGCAATTGTTACACCCCAGCCCTACTACTTCCTCGTTCTATCTCCTATGTTCTTGCTCCATGTCTTTACTCACACCAACACCCTTCCCCAAATGCTCTCTCTACCATGTCACTTCATCCCTTGTGCAGAATCCACAGCCCCTGTGATCTCAGCTATGCAACCCACAGCCCTCATGATGACTGTTGGCTCTTAGCTGAAGTATGTTTTCTGCATTTTTTCCTGAAAGAAATTATAAGGAAGAGGCCTGGTCTTATACCTTTTTATACTGTCCAGTGTTTGGCAAAACAGCATTTGATAAATATCTATTTGATAAGTACTCATTTAATCTAGCAAAAAAAAAGATATTTAAAACAAAACCATCTGATAGTTGTTTAATACTTATTTGTAAATCAGGTTCTTCAATGGGGGTGCTTAGAATAGGTTTTGAGATAGAAAAGTTGAAAAGATGATGTGTACTTCATCAAATTTCCCCTAAATTACTATTTTATATAACTACGGCACATTTGCCAAAGCTAAAAAATTAATTAGCACACACTATTTCCTAAACTTGACTTTATTTGGATGGCACCAGCTTTTCCACTGAGGTTCTTTTTCTGTTCTGGAATCCAATCCAGGATTCTTCACTGCCTTTAGCAAGTCCACTTTTATTAGTTCATTTATCCTCCAAGAGCCTCAAGAAGAAGATATTATTCCTATTTCACTGATGACAACTGAGGCTCACTGATGGGTCACTCACATGGTACCATGTAGTCAGCAAGCAACAGAACAAGTCAAACCCAGAACACAATGAGGTAAAAACTGCAGGGAGGGAAATGAAGATGGTTTGGTATTTTTTCTGGATGGGAAAAAGAGCAGGGCACCAAGGGTAAGTGCTAAGCAGGTAAAATGGCAGTTGAACAACCTCTGGTTTCTGCAACTGTGGGTATTTCATAAGGGTCCCCCTGTGATGCTGGTTAAACACTAGGACTTTATGAATCTCATATTCATTTAGAACAAGGATGCACTCCACCTACAGTTAAAGATCAGGACTTGGAAATTCTTTTTCTTAATCCTAGACATGCTGCCACACTCAGGTGAGAGTTGCGGCACACAGGCTCCTGGTGCACACAAAGGTCTTTTCAGCCCCCACACTCAGACACGTGGAAGGTAATCACCTGTCCAGTGGACAAGTTCCTAACATGATCCACAGTGAAGCTGCCAGAATAGCTCACTTTGAAAACACAGTACCTGCACTTCCAATGCATTTGTTCGATCAGCTCTTCACAAGAGCAACCAAAACTAGAAAAACATTTCATAATTAGTGTGGCATTAGGGTGGCTTATAAAGAAAACATGAAAGGGGAAGAGGAAAGGAAAGGATACTGAGTGGTAAAGAGGATTGAAGTAAGTATATATGTATATACACACACACATATATATGTGTAGATATATATATATATATATATATATATATATATATATATATATATATATATGAAGATACCATAATGAAACCACCAAACACTGAAATGGGGGGAGGAGAGAGGGTATAGTAAGGGTATATAAGAGAGAAGTGAACTTGTTTAAAGTACCCTGTACGTGTCTATGGAACTACCACAATGAAACCCCTCAATGTACCAACTAAAAAGTAACAATTTTTACAAACAAGAAAAAACAAAGAAAAAGAAAACATGGAAGTTACATGGAGGAAAAAGGGAGAAAAAAATGTCATACCCTGACAACTGACTGAAAACTAAATCTTTCCCCAGTTAATGTACAGATTAACAAAATTCCCACTTTCACTACAGCATGCTTCTAAGAATTCAAAGTGTGAAATTTGTTGTGAAAAGCTATGAGTTAGCAAGGAGAAAAGATGATACAGCAAAGCTAGCCCTCCCAGACATTCACAAACATACTAGTATCAATAATCAAAATCACATCAGACTTGCTCAAAACAAGAAACAAATTCTCACTGTATATAAGAATGTGATTAAGTGATAACACTAGTAAAATCACAGTGAAAAGTTTATAATGCACATTCTATCTCATTTTTAAAAATTCATATCCTTAGACTCAAATGGTTTCACTCAAGAGCTAGGCACAATGGCCTGTGTCTATAATCCCAGCTACATGAGAGACTGAGGTAGGAATTGAGCCTACAGTTCAATGCCAGCCTGGGCAATATAATAAGACCTTTTTTCTTAAAATATTTAATTTTAAAATTTTTATTTTTTTTATTATTATAAAAAAACTTTGCCGGGTGCTGGTGGCTCACGCCTGTAATCCTAGCTGCTCTGGAGACAGAGATCAGGAGGAATGAAGTTCAAAGCCAGCCCAGGCAAATAGTTCGCTAGACCCTATCTCAAAAAAATCCATCACAAAAAAGGGCTGATGGATTGGCTCAAGGTGTAGGCCCTGAGTTCAAACCATAGTACGGAAAAAGAAAATTAAAATAAAAAAAAAATTCACTCATCAAGAAACAAAAATATATGCAAAAATGTTTACAGCAAGATTCTGTTTTACAACAGGGAAATATTGAAGAAGTGAGGAATGGCTAAATGAATTATGACATGTTAACTGTGAGATGAGGCAACTTTTTAAAAAAGTAAATAAAACTATATAGATCAATGGAAGCATGTATAAAAGATAATGAAATGAGACAAGAACATAATTCCATGCTGCATAATTATAACGATATGAAATTATCCATAAAGATAAAAGCCACGTTTGTAAATGTCACAATGTGCCCCCCATACAATAATAATTTTTAAAAAGCCATGTGCCAGGCACTGTGCCAAGCACTCTGTACTTTTTATGTACTTTAATCCTTTTAACAACTTATGAGGCACACACTCTAGCCCTAATTTTAAAAATGAGAAAACTACAGCCCAGCAAGTCACTCAGCCTTATACACATACTACACACAAGAGTCAGGATTCAACACCAGCCAGGTTGACTGATATGCATGGAAATTACATTTGCGGGGGAAAGTTTTCAATTAAAAGAAAGTTAGAAAGTAAATCATCTCATACAAGTCTAAATGAAGTGCTATACCATTAGCCTATTTCTCAATTCCACCACTTTAAAACTTAGAAATATTATATTTATATAAACAGGTTGCCACTTACTCACATTTTATAAAAACGGATACTTTATAGTTGTGACAACATGAAAAAAACACCTGGAACCGATCTCTGGTTTTGCCCCAAATGTATTTTATATGCATAACTGTAGCACACAGCCAAAAACATCTGTTAAATAAATTTTCTATGTCTGTGAAAACTATGTCAGGAGGCATAGCTCCTGCCACCGCCATTTTGGAACTGGTTCTCACAAGCAGCAAATTGAGGGATAGAGACATCCTATTCACATCTTCAAACTCTCTTCTGTCCTGTACTACAAAGAAAGGAGCTTTAGCCTGTTCCCCTCTCCCCTAGTAAAGGGGAAATCCTTCTGTGCCTTTTGGATAGACATGAAAGAGCCACTAAAGTCCAGGCTGCCTGTGAGGTAAAGGTGAACTGTCATCATGGCAGAAAGGAAACAGGCAGCAGCCAAGGCCTTCATATTTTAGTGGGCAAGAATCCCCAAAGCACTAGTTGGTTTTAAGAACAGTTTGGGCATTCAGATACACCACAATAAAACATTTCCCAGGCAAATTGGGGCTAGAGACACTTGGCTGTCTAAAGACATGGCTGGCACCTGCCTCGCCTGCTAGAACATAATGTTCCTAGAGATAGGAACAAAAAGCAAAGGTACTCCAAAGTAAATGTAGGTGAAATAAAGATCTGTCTAAATGTCCAAGAAAATTGACTCAAAGACCATCACCACATAAAGTCAATTTACCAATAGTTTTTATAACAAAAGCAGAGATGGCCAAGGGAAACCACTATCACAATAATGTGGACTCTGGAAGGATGAAAGTGGTTGGTAGCTCAGCCATTGCAGCTGGGAAACAACTCGTTCCAAAAAGCCAATTCCTTTTCCCCATTTGTAAATGTTGGCCCTAATCCATGAGCAACTTATTTTTCTAAGAGAAGTATGTTTACTGGTGCTCACCAAGTATCTGTGGTTCTCTATAACAGTCACCAGTGCATTGTCACATTCACACAAACAGAAAGGTTCCAGCACATGGATATGGTGGTTTGCATGTGAGTGCTAGACAGGCAGTAACAGCAGGTACTGGAACTCCTCACCTACAGCTCATTTTGGTCCCCAAGGTTCAGGGTGAGGTAATTAACTCAGGTCCTTCAGGAAGGTACCAAACTCCTAAGAGGAAGTCAGGTCACTGTATCACAGTGAGTCTTGCTGGACACAGGCCATTCTACTCTATCGTCCCTTGAGACATGAGATAATCAGGCAACATAAGCTGTTCAAGGGTCCCCTACAGTGCTTCAAGAGAACTTAAAGTTATTATGAAGTAACCCAAATAGACTTCTCTCAATAAGTTTGTCACACATAGGTCAGTAACAATGCCTAGGTAATGAAGCTATGCTGGTTTGGATCTCTTGTCCCTCATGTCACACCTCTATGATCACAAACAAGCACCTACAAAATCATTTTAGTATCATTTACCAATTTGAATACCTCTATTCCCCTACCTATAGCTTATGGAGGCAAATAGCAATGTTTTCCATTTTCCCCAAATTAAGATAAATGACCAGCGATTACTAAAGAGTCAACCATCTTCAAGAAGTTTAGAAAATGAATGATGGTTTTTTTTTTCTTTCTTTCTTTTTTAACTTTTTCTTTTCTGACACTGTTCTGATGACACAAGGGAAACAGGCTGGTGTTCTGTGCTATCACTCACCTGTGCCATTGGCCAGGCCACTGTGGCTTGGGTTCTTGATGGGTTGGCGGTGCCGATTCCTGGTACCAGGGCTTTGCTCACCAGTTGCTGTGATTGTTCTGGATGAACCACCTGAATGTCTGTGCGTCCTGGGGGTTCAGAGTATAGAGCAGACAGACATAAGTCACAGTGGAAAAGAAAGAAGCATATCCTACTTCAGGAACCACATTCCCTCTCTTGCTATTTATTGGAAACAAGACCTGTAATAGCCCTTCTAGAATTTGACTCAACAGAAGCTGGCTCTGAGCTGAGACCTGGGGAAGCTTCCTTCTTGGTAAAAGCCCAAAAGGCAGCTTGGTGCAAATTTTTCCACTTATAAACAAATCCAGAGTGAATTACCCCACATCTGAAATAACTGGCAAAATATCCTGTGCCCATCACCCTATTTTTATTGGGCTTAAATGTTAGAAATAAATAAGAATTACTGCACAGGCTACAGATGAAATATTTCTCCCATTAGGTAAAAAGAGCCCAAACTTATCCAAATTGATTTTCTCTATAGCTGGAAAGATGAATCTCTTGGAAACAGAAGTCAAGGGGCATTAAACAACTTTAGTCAATGCATATGGTGACATGTTTTACCTAGAAAAGGTGACTCACCAGCTCATCCATGTAAATGAGAACCAGTGCAGAAATGAATCTAATTTACAAAGGAAATGCTAGTATCTAGCAGAAAGAAACCTATTTGATATCTTCGCAAACTACAAGGCAACAGGCAGTGTGTATTCTCAAGTTCTTTTTGTTGCTGGTATTCCTCATGTAGCGAAAATGTCTAAGCTTCCCTGTTCTATGATATAGCTTTTTCACCAAAAGTATGTTACTCCACTACACAGTAATTAGATATTAATTTGAAACAGTGAGATGATTTAAATACCATTCAGTAAAGAAAAGACTGTCTCCAGGCAATAAAATAGAAGCCCTACATGGAGCAGTAAGACTACCATCAACAATCAAAGTAATAATAATGACCACAGGAGTATATAATATTCATTAAGCTGTAACATATTCTGGTGCTATGCACATATATATACATTAGCTCATTTAACAAGGTCCCCCTAAAGGTAGCTTACTGTTATTATTTCTATTTTATAGATAAGAAAACAAACACAGAGAAGTTCTACAGAAAGTAAACCTTGCAGCCAGGTCCTGGGGGCACACACCTGTAAGTCTAGCTACTTGAGAGGCTGATATTAGGAGGATCAAGGTTTGAGGCCAGTCCAGGCAAATAATTCATGAGACCCCCATCTCCAAAATAACAAGGGCAAAATAGACTACAGGCGTGATTCAAACAGTATAGTGCCTGCTGAGTTCAAACCTCAGCTCTGCTAAAAAAAAAAAAAAAAAGAATGAAGGTAAGCCATGGAAATACATATTCAAATCCAGCAAGTATAACTTTAACAGCCTCTGCTCATTGGCTGGAGGATGGGATGGGAAATCTGGACTTTGACTAGATTCTGCTTGGGCTTTTCTTTTACCAGTTAGCTAGTTAGATAGGTCAGTGGCAAAACCTATCACGGAAAGTTACCTGCTTGGAGGGATCCACACCCACCAGAGCATCTCTACGGGTAAGTCCCAAATAGGAGGTGCCTAGGGAAAATGTGAACTGCTCTACATCTCAGTAACAGATTTTTTGACAAGATGGACAGAAACCAAAACATTAACAGTGATTAATTTTGGATGCTCGGAATATGGATGTTTTGGTTTTGCCTTTCATGCTTTTCTGCTCTTCTAGATTTTTCTAGCTTTCCTTTACTGAGCTTGTATACTTTTGAGTAAGAAAAAAATTTTTTTTAAAGAAAAAAAAAAGTTTTTTCTTGGGGGAGAGAGAGAGAAAGAAATCTGGAGTCCATCGTACTTGAAGAAGGAATAGCCATTAAAAATGGAGAGAGCATACAACCGAACAATGGAAATAAAGATTCAGTTTGGACTCTTTTTCCATCTTATTTTTCCCTGAGCTAATTTCATAAATCAAAAGCTGTCAACCATACCTCAGTCAAAGAAAAATATTTCAAAGGCCCCACTTCATGGGAAGAAATGTTAGTATTAAGCATTTTACCACAACTCCTCATCGAAAGCAGAATGAGCACAAACTAGTTCCAAAAGGAAAGGCGGTCTTTAGCAAGTAGCCAACATGTTTCTGTGTGTGTGTATGTGTTGAGAGCAAAGAGCTTGAGAGCGGTAAAATTGGTTAATAGGAGGTTTATTTCTGCCAAGAATCCTCTTACAAGGACAAAAAAGTCCCCCCTGATTTGAAGCTCCCAGCCCCTAGGAGAGGCCTGGATCACTCACGGAACAGCAGGCCATGTGGCAGCACCAGAAAGGCTGCATCAATCCTGTGATGTACACAGGTCTGACAAGGCCTGATTACTTCCAGTGGCCAGAGCTCCTTGTCCCTCTGCAGAACAGATGGACACAACGACAGGGCAGATCCCATTACTCTCTTAGCTCCTCCCTCCCTTCTGCATTAGGGCATGTGGTCAGAGTTGACAGAGAATACTTTCAGAAATGTTTAACCACTAATGATAGCAGCTTACCCTGAATGACAGGCTGGAGCAGGGCCGGGATTAGCCTATAAACCAGGGGCAGCTGGGACCACTTTGTGTGAATTGCTGCCTCCCCGCCCGTGGCCAACCGCCACCCCTGCTACCACCTCCCCCACAGACACACATGACACACACATACACTTTCCCAGTTCTCCCTTGCCTGAAACCTAGAGTTTCCAGGATTTTGTTCTTATATTACATATAAAATAAGACAGCCAGAAGGAAAAGAAGGCCTCAAGAACTGAGGAAAATCTCTGTTTCTGCTCCTATAGCTCTCCCTCACCCCTTGAAAGATGCAATTGTGTGGTGATTATAAACTGGACTACAAGCTGAAACCACACACCATAGGCCAAAATAGCACTAGGACAAACTTGGGGTGATGGGAGGAGATGAGCTGGCCTCCGCCACAGACAGCCTGGCTTCAACTCTGCTAATGACTTCAACCTTGGTCTGATCCCCCTCGACATTCTGAGGGCAGGGAAGAGTTGTGCAGCCCGTGGACAGTATGAAGAGGACTGAACAGCCATGGCCATTAGGCCAAGCTCTACAAGTGGTTTCAAGTCACCCAGTTATAGAAATTTAGCTCTCTTTACAACATGCCTTTCTAGAATGCTGATGTGTCCTTACCTAAGTTACTCCCTCAGAAATTGAAGCCACCAAAGAATGCCAATCCCCAGGGCCTTCGGACTCTCCCTTCACACTCCTCCAAGTACAGATGAGGTCCTAGGAGAGGGCTCTTGAGGGCTCTTGTCCCTTGCATTTAAACTCTGATAGCACAGCTCTGGGCTCTGGCCTCAGATGCACCCTGACAACCAGAGCCTTGGTTACCTTGGGACACCTTGCCTGGTCCTTCATGAAAGCCACTGATTTGTACTCAACATCATTTTGTTAGTGCTAGGCCCCGTTCCAGGACTGGCAACAAAACAAAAAGTCCCTGACCTCAAGGGGCTTACACCTTGGTAAAAATGCAGTGACACACATCTGTGGATGTGGGAGCCACTTGGTTAGTGAGAGAGCCTAGCTGACTACTTGGCATTGTAGCCTGGTCAACCACTCCAACAGCTTATGTAGAGTAATTAAATAAAGCAAAATTATATTTCTCTGGTTTAAAAAAGAAAGCCTTGTTTAACAACAAATGTGGATGGACTCAATACTACTGAAGTATACACTTAAAACTGATTAAAATGATAAATTTCAGTCAGGTATGGTGGTGCACACCTGTAATTCCAGCTACTGAAGAGGCAGAGATCAGGAAGATCATGGTTCAAGGCCAGCCCAGGCAAAAATTAGTGAGACCCCATCTCAATCAACAAGCTGGGCATGGTAGTATACACCTATGATCCTAGCTGCACAGAGGCATAAATAGGAGGATAGTAACCTGAGGTCAACCCTAGGCAAAACATGTGAGACCCTACCTGAAAAATAAGCAAAAAAGGGCTGGGGGCATGGCTCAAGTGGTACAGCGTCTGCCTAACAAACACAAGGCCTTAAGTCCAAACTTCAGAAACCCCACCCCAACACAAAAGAAAGACCCATAACTTTTATTATGTGGTTCTGTTTTTTTGGAGACAGTCTTACTATGTACCCTAGTCTGGTCTCAAAACTCTGAATCCTTCTACCTCAGCCTCCTGAGTGCTGGGAGCCACCACAGCCAGCTTACCACAATTTTTTTATTTTTTCAAAAGAAAAGAAAACCAACTTCAGTATTATTAAAGTGAAAAATCTAAATAAATAATGGCTCAAGGCAGAAAACAAATGTTTTACAAAATTAAAAATTATGATGTAGCTCAATGGCACAGCGCTTGACTACCATGTATAAAACCTGGGCTCAGTCCCCAGTACCACACACATAAAATAGAATTCAAAATCTGGTGGTGGCTCAGTGTTTGAGATTGGTAAGTCTATCACAGATCTTAGGTAGAAGTTAATTTTAGAAAGTAGTTTAAGTGCTCAGTGGTAGAGCACTTGCCTAGCATTCCTGAAGCCCTGTGTTAAATCCCCAGCATAATTAATTAATTCCTATAACTCAACAAGAAAAAGCCAACCTGATTTAAAAGTGGGTAGACAACTTCAATAGACATCTCTTCAAAGATGGTATATAAACAGCAAACAAGCATATGAAGATGCTAAACTTTGTTAATTATTAGAGAAATATAAATCAAAACCATAATGAAAGATCACCTCACAACCATTAGGACAACTACTATCAAAGGAACAAAAATAAGGAGTGTCACTGGGGATGTAAAGTAACTAGAACCCCCATGTACTTTCGGTAAGAATGTAAAATAGCATTGTCACTATGGAAAACAGTATCATGGGTCCTCAAAAAATTAAAAATCAAATTACCAAATAATCCAATTACCCACTTCTGGGTATATATTCAAAAGAACTGAAAAGTGGGGTCTCTCTGACATATCTCACAACCATGTTCATACCAGCCCTGTTCACAGTAGCCAAGAGATGGAAGCAACTTAGCATTGATAGATGAGTGGATAAAGAGAACATGGTATATACATACAAAGGAAGAAAATTCTGACACATGCTAC